GTTGCGTACATATTCCAAAAATGAAGGAACATCATCAGGATATTTAAATTCTTCTTCACTTTCAAGTGGAGTAGATTTCTGAAAGCAAATGACGTCTCCATCTTCAATATGTAAATGGAAAGGGTCAGACAGTTAACTAGCAATGTACTTATAAAAGCATCAAAACGTTAATCGTGTCCGCTTGCAAGCATGCAATTTAGCAATGTTTACCTGACTTAATCGAAATGTGCTCCCATTGTCAAGGTGTTCGCACCTGATACAAGGCGCAAACTTTATTTCCTGAATGTAGCACCAATCAAATATGGCTTCAGATAATTGAATAATGCCATCTAGACTAAAATCCAAGCGAAAGTTTCCGCAGCCTATACCAGGCGATTGGGTACATATTCCAAAAATGAAGGAACAGCAGGATGTTTACATTCTTCTTCACTTTCAACTTGAGCTAGCTTTCGTTTCTCCTCAACTTCCCCTGCATTTAATTCACACAGAATGCCTATACCAATATGGGCAATCATTAGATTTTTTTCACAGCTAAACTAAAGTGATGACTTCGACCCCAGAAAGGAAAAAAGAAAAAAAGAAAAAAAAACTAAAGTGATGACTCTTTAACAAACTGGAAAAAATGTCTCTCTCTATCCTAGCCTGAAGTTCCTTTCTAGCATTCATTGAGCCGCTCACTGAGCATTGTATTTTTAGTTGCTTGCTTCCATGCATCCATCCATCATGTTGTTCTGTTCATCCTGTGTCAGTGCACAAGTCACCCATAGTAACATTGATTGGAGCACCTCAGCACCCGTGGTCTGCAAAATGCGGCCAACAATTTTGTCTTGCTCCTCGACAGTGAAGTGTCTGCCAAATAATGGCCACAGCTCAAGTTCTTCCCTGAAAATGTGCTGATTTAGTGTAACTTTTATAGATTTGCACATCTCTTGAAGTTTTGTAGCTAGCTCATTATACTTTATAGTATAGTTGATACCATAAGTATCAGAAATGCTAATGCTACTTCCAGCTGAATCC